ATGATGAACAATGGGTGCATGTGTGTGTACATGTGATGAAGAAGAAGCCTTATGAGATGCACAAGAAGAATTAATATTCTTATGTTTTTGTGCATCATAGCAAAACTTAGCTAAATGGCCTTTACGATCACAAATGGAGCACTTATAAGTTTTGCTATACAAGTGTGCAAAGTATACGGGTTTAGAAGTTGTAGTACTAGACTTTGCACCCAAGTCCATAAGTTTCTTATTATCTACAATGCATGTTTTAAGGGTTGAATCTAAAGATGATATGCGTTCTTTAACATGATCCAACTTATTTTTAGGCATACAAGCATTGGAAATAGAAGTAGATGAAACATGATCATTTCTAAAAGAATTAAACTTATTTCTAATAGTTTCTACTTCTATCATGGCATTATTATTAGCATGAGTTAAGCTAGCAATAGATGAAGACATGTTATTATTTTCCAAACTTAATAACTCATTGTTTTCTTTCAAAATAGCATTCTCTTTAACAACAATATCAAGTTTAGAAGCTAGCGACTCATGATCGGATTTCAAATCTACATGCTTGCTTTTAAGATCAATAAAATTATTTTGCAATTTAGTATAGGCATGAGATAATCTTTCATATGCACAAGCGAGTTCATCAATAGATAAATCATTATCGGAATCGGAATCGCTTACTACACAAGAGTTATCCTCTTGTGGCCGTGTGCATGATGCTCCACATGAACTTGAAGAAGAATCCTCCAAAGCTTGTCGGATTGCCTCCAAGTCCCCTTGATGTGCTTCAATAAATTTCCAAAGTTTGTAAGCACTATCAAAATGAACAAATTTGTTAGAAAATGATGAGTCAAAAGCATTAAGCAAAAATTCTAACAAAAACTTGTTTCCGCCACTAACAGGATCATCGCCAGCCAGATCCATCTCAGATGCTCGCGAACCTGCATGCGACTTGTGGGCTAATCTTTTCCGCCTATCAGCACGGACAGCAATCGAAGGTCTTGCCCGGGTAAAAGGACGGAATTCGTCTTCACTGTTGGTCGCTGTCCCTGAAATATCAAATAGTGGTCAGGACTAGCAATTCGAAAATGCAGAGAAAAAGAAAAATAGGTGACTAACCTTGCTCCAAATCTGCCTCGTAATCTTCGGGATCTCCGCCTGAAGCCTCTCCAGCAGAACTAAAGGCCCTGTGACCTTCTGCATCAAGTCGGCGGGTCTTGCCCTGAGCCCTCTGTGACCGAGCACCGTCCCGGATCGCACGAGAATCAATCTGAGAGGCTTCTTCGGCCACCAACTCTTCGATAGGCTTCACAGGGACAGTCTTATTAGCTGCTAGCAACCACTTGCAGCTCAAGAAAGTGAGGTTCAACTGCCGCTCAGTACCCGGGAGACTGAACCTAGCACCAGTGCAACCAGTCACGGTCCACAACCATGCACGAAGACCGTCCACCAGACCTCCATGAGCCCGAAGCTGCTGGCGCGGGTTCCCAACATAAAGCTGGTCATAAAAGCTGGTCATAACCGAACTGGTGGGCGAATCGGCAAGGTAGATACGGCTCTATAAAACACTGATTCCCCACCCGGAAAGTCAGGTAACCCGGCCTAATGTTCACTAGCCAATTAAAGCAGCCCATATCCAAATAAGTCCTATACTCCCTCGGCTTCTCCTCATCAATCAAACACTCGCCGTACCGGCTGGAGAACTATGGAAAGCAAGTGGAGAATGCCCAGCACTTGTGGACTTGTAGCTGACTCCTGATATCAGGGAATCCTCGGCCCTCCGACTCGCCTTTCTCAAGCAGCTGTAGAAAGGGAACAGACTGGTCTATGGCATTCGGTACCGACCTCACATCAGAACGATGAAGGACGAACCAAGCCATGCCATCAAATAAATATACGGAAGCTCCACCTTAATGGTAGGAATCTGAGTCGGTTTATCATCATCTCTCCGTGTAAAAGCACCAGAAATCTGTCGAAGCCCTCGATGAATGTTAGCCACCATCACCGGAAGAAGCGAAAGTTCCTTCTTGTAGGCAAGCTGAACTGCAGGATAGAGCACTTCCAGTGGCAGAGCGTCACCAGACTGATACGGGACCACACATTTCTTCAACCAGATGGCGAGATAACCGGCAAGGAGGGTCATCGGACGAATCGGCGCAGTCGTATGGAATAAAAATGATCTGAACTTGGTCCCTGCAGGAAAGCCGCTCTCAGGACTGCTATTGGTATAGGAGCGGGCGTCAGTCTTCTTCAGCAGCTCATTAACCTCTGAAGGAGTCAGCGGTGCCAGTTCACAAATAGATTGGCCAGAATGGCTCTCCAGATTCCTGAACAAATATGATGCGAACTGCTTCAGGCTCACATTTGCTTTGGTCCTCTTCGCTAGGGGCTTAGACTGCGCCAAAGCAATGTGATAATGACAAGTGAGGTCCCATAAGGTCTCGTAGCGGTCGGGCATGCGATCCTTCAGCTGACTCAACTTATGGTTAGAAGGAAAGTACTCCTGGTATAGCATCTATCCCATGGGCAAGCCAGAAATCTTGTGCATCTCATGAAGAGCCAAGCCCAACTCTCCGTGCCTGGTCAGAAAAGTGTTGGAATCAGGATTATAAAGCTCGCATAGGGCAAAGAAATGCTTCGCGCTTGTAGGCAAACCATGCATGGTGGCCCGAATGGCTGCATAAAGACCGCAAGCATGTAACTCCTCGCTCCATCGGCTCAAGACGTACTTCGTCATACGAGCCCACCAAAACCTGTCCAAAGAATGGACCCAACCATAGAATCTGTGGCGCGGTGCAGGCATCTCCCGTCCTAAGATAGCGAGGCGATTCCTCAAAGTAGAAGCAGTGGCGAGGAACTCGTTACGAGGCGGAGTATCTAGCCCCAGTACTCCAGGACGCAGTCCAACAATGTGATCCCTGCTCTATATATATATATATATATATATATATATATATATATATATATATGAAGAAACCAATAAATGTGTGTGTATAGATATTGAGCTTAGAGTATATAACACACATAATATAAAATCTAAAACTACATTACCCAAGCTATGATCTTGATCTTCAATAAGCTTGACTTGGTACACTTGCGGATGAAGCTTGAACTTGATCTTTAACTTGAATTGTATAGGCTTCAACCCGACATTCTGCCAACCTCATTTGGATATGATCGTTGAAGCGCTATTCCATCCATCCTCCAACTCGTTGTTTGTCTATAATAAATAAGAAAACAAAAATACTAGACAAACAACATTAGTGGTAAATTGTTTGTTAAACATCATCAAAACAAGAAGGTCAACAAAGTTGTATTGTGACAATCAGGTAATCGTACAGTTTGTAAAGAATAAGAACTTTTATTTTAGCAGGAATAAGCACATCAGTGTGAAGTACTTATTCGTCCTTGACAAGGTCGAACAAGGGTTTATTGAGGTTCCTCATCTGCCGACTCAGTTGATGATTGTTGATCCCTTGACCAAGGAAATTTTTTCAGGGCTCTTCAAGGAACATGTCTTCAGTATAGGTGTTTTAGAGTCTTTCGATTCTATATGCTCAGTGAGATTTAGTTGGCATAGTAGTTTTGTTTTATTTTCAAGTACTATATTCTGGGATTGCTTTGAGCTTATAAAGAAACTATTGTGCTGATTTTTTATATATTAGGAGTTTGATATTTTCAAGCATTGTGTTATTGGTCATTGTTGCTTAATATATATTTTAAAATAAAGAAAACTAATGTTTAAAGTAATGAGTTTCAAGTTAATCGTAAAGAAACTCAAATTAAAGATAGTGGTCCATAGATCATAAAGTTTAAAGTAAAGAGACACTTAAATTTGTGCAGAAGCTGAATGTGATTGGGCATCATATTTGAGGTTTTTGTTCTGGACTATAGGTGATGGTTTTCACATGACGGATGCTGGTAAAAGTTTCAGAACGGCATACACGTTTGTCTATGTTGCAGAGGACACTTAAGGGCGTACATCGGATTTGACCATAAGGAATGTACGGCTCTATTACACTCCACTAAAACCACCATAAAGAAAATGTCTTTAGAACATTACTAGTACTAACGGTTAGACCGTGGAGTGACCTTGTGCCATATTAGAGCATATAGTGTTTTCACGATAAACCAATAGCTAGTGGTACTTTTGTTTTAAGGAAAAAGTTTCAGAAACTATCCTAATTAGAATCATGGCAACAAGTTGTTTTCTAAAATAAATGGGTGTGCACCCGATTTTAAAAGTTTTTTTGAAAATTTAAATATATTTTTTGAAAATTAAAAAATGAGCTATGTTGTGCCAAAGTGGGAGATTGTTGGGTTCGATTAATCCAATGAACTCATGTTGCCCAACTTACTCGTTTTTTGATTTGATTTAAATTTGCCATCGATTCAAGTTAGGATCAGGATGCTAACTACATGGTCTGGTTATACAGTTTCATGTTTATCAAGTTGGGTGGTTATCTTGAATATCTAAAGGATAGGATCAATCGGAGTGTAATCACACAGTTGTGATTAAACCATGATGGGTAGGGTTAATCACAAATATCTATTTAAGAGTGGGAGTCCCACCTCTCAACCGTACGCAGAAAGGAGACCAAATTCTCATCGTTGGCTATGGGAGGAGAGAGGAGAATACTTCCATTGTTTTGACGATGAACGGAAACTTTAATCTATTTTTTCTAGTTCAACTATTTATGTGAAGATCGTTAAAGTATCCAACAGCTAGTAGGGCACTCAACACTTCGTTCGTGAATTTTTGAATTGGAATCTCCTTTGGATCGTCCTGGTACAGAATCCTAGCTAGGTTCTGTAGTGTTGATTTTGCTACTTAACCCTGAAGAGAAAAACAGAATTATCATCGCCGCCCCGTTAGGTACCTCCATGAGAAGGTCCATGAGAAAGGGCATGACTTATATAAGATCTATGAAAAGACAATTATACACAACAAAGAAGAACAACCAATAACAACTTACATTTCCCCGCATAAACAACAAATAAACAAAGTAAATATGGGAGTAACAACATATTATTTTATTGAAGGAACAAACAGTTCATTTAGAGAACAATAAATGCTTTCCTAATAAAAATTAATAGAGCGATGAGTTCCCAATGAAGTTGTTCATTGCGGGTTGATGCATTATTGAACCTACTAAATCAGACACCTGCAAACTTATCCAGTGAGTCCTCAGCAAACCGATGCGCTACACTATACTGGCGAAAATCTTGATAACGAAATGGCTTGAAACGAAGAGGGTGGTCTTCATCAACGAGCTCACGAGGGGTCTCTACAATCTGATCACCCTTAGCACGCAGGAACAAGGCACAAGATTGTCGTGCCTTATAGCCCCTAACAATTACCTTATGTGGACAAGCATGAAGACGACCATTACTCCAAGCCTACACCATCAAATCATATTAATTAGCAAACCCTTTCTTATGTTAAGGTTGAGTTGAGCTCACTTCCAAATTTAATCTCTACTGTCCAATTTTCAGTACTGCTATATATAAATGTTATTTGAGCACTTTAAATGGCTAGCTATAATTTATCTTAATCGAATTGTGTGTGTATATGTATATGTATATGTATATATATACATATATGTATATGTATATATATATATATATACAAATGTATAATTCATGAATTTGCTCATTCATTGGTTTAGAATCTACCATTTTAAATTTGTTAAAATCAGAAGCTTTAAATCTTTTAATTCCCATATCATCTAAACCATACTTTTTCTCTAGGGTTTCCCACAGAACTTTAGCATTAGTGATAGTATAGTATATATCATATAATCTATCAGATAAAGCTCCTAAGATTCTATGTAGACAATGATACTCTATTTCTTGAGGTGTTCTTGGGATAGGAATGGAATCTGTGGAGGAAGATGAGGAAGATTGCCTAGTAACTGGTCTAGATGAAGATGGGTTATCTGGTTCTATGGCTGTTATTAGATGTAGGGTTGTTAACCAAAATCTCATTTGGTTTTGCCAACGACGAAAATTATTCCCATCAAACTTCTCTGGTTTAGCAGACATAACTTCACTTGTAGCCATAATCTGATGATGAATGAATATTTTTGTTATTATAATGCAGCAGAAATATATAAAGCATTCATTCAACAGAATAATCATGCATTGTAACATTTCGTTTTTAAGAATTGCAGACAACATTAACATAAAAACCAGAATGTTAATCATGTTACTATTCTAAACAGCACACAATTAGTTTCTTGGATTGTTGGGAATATTAGCTGTTTAGACAATAACGAAAATCAGTTTAAACAATTTGATAATTAACAGATAATTACTATTATAACGCAGATATAAGAAATATATCAAATGAAAAGTAAATAGAGGTTAGAAATACGGCCTGATGGTCGAGGCGTGCAAGCACTGTCCCAAGAAACTAATTGCCCCCTCTCGTACAGGGCTACGCGGCAAAAGCTCCCGGAGATACAACGACCCTCGGTCAGGCGACCTCCTTCTCGTCGGCACGAGCTTCAAGAAGGCTTTGCGAATTCTTCGTAAACTTTCAGGGAACCAGCAAATTGTAACAGTAAGTATTTTGAAAGAGAAGAACAGAGAAGGTGAAGAAGAGGTTGTTGCTTTTCGCTGTGTTAAACTCTGCGGATTTTAGATCCTTTTATAGGGAAAAACAGCCGTTACTTATAAACCCCGTAATTAACACGGTTTTAATCACGTTAATAAAACTTAGCCGTTATCAAAACATTTCCGTTACATAATTAATTCGCAAAATGTTTATCACGTTTTTAATCACACTAATAAATATTTTCCGTTACAAAATATTTCGGTTACAAAATATTTATCACATGTTAATTGTTCAAAAATAAAAATTATATTTTAATTATTTAAAAATAAAAATGTAGCAGATTAAGGGCCCATTAATCCGGAGCTGCATTCGTGTCCGCAGGTCGTGTGCGCGCGCCACCCGACCCGACCCGAACCCGAGCCCGAGCCCGGCCCGGCCGGCGCGCGCGTGTGTGGTGTGGAGCATAACCTTTGTTTTCTTCTAGGCATAGGAGAGAAAGGGAAGGCTTATAAGGACCCCTTTTTTCTATCCCATTTCCTATGTGGGACTAAACTTTCCCTCTTTTCCTCTACAAAGTCAAGTTTTAAGTTATCTTTTATTATATAATTCCAACAATCCCCCACATAACTTAAAACTTAAAATAGTTCAGAAATAACAATAAAAGAAATAAATACGATTGCTGGTTCCCTTATACTATGTAATAGGTGGAGGTACCTTTCGGTTTGAACCTTCACTTAGTGACAGTTGTATAGATCCGTGAGAGCTTGGTGGACTTCGCCTTGAACCAGTCTCATTTATCGGATTTCTACAGAAAGCACACATAGTACAGTTTTGAAGAATTCTAAACGGGTTGCGCTATTATCGGCCTTGCGCAGGTATCTTTCATGTGTGTTACTAGGGAGCAGCCCTGATCCCATAGTCGCGGCCTCACAACTACACACATATAGGTGAATCCTAATAAGGATGCGAGCAAGTAAGCATCCTGCCTCATGGGTCTTGGATTCATTAAGAGTTAGACTCAACCTTTCACTTGCTTTTTATGAGCACTGATCATCCTAGGGATGGGAGCAAATAAATTCAGTGCTCCTCACAATTAATCACTCATTCAGTTTGTTTCTACCCATTGAACCTCTGCGAGGTTGGGTTGCCACTGCAGTGATTTTTCTTATGGGCTTAACCCCATCCCCCTCGATGATTCTAGGACCACTGCCCTAGATAAGCCTTTAGTTAAGTGATCTGCAAGATTTTTCTCTGATCTTACAAAATCTAAGGCTATTATATGGTTTTTCATCTTATATCTCAAGGATTTATGTCGCACTTTCAAGTGTCGATTCATCTTCACATTTGCATTCTCTTGATGGCATTTGTCAATCGCTGACCTGCAATCACAATGAATAGAAATGGCTGGTAATGGTTTTTGCATTAGTGGAATTTCAGTTAGTAAATCTTTCAACCATTCAGCTTCTATACTAGTAGTATCAAGAGCTATCATTTCTGATTCCATTGTACTTCTAGCCATTACAGTTTGTTTAGTAGATTTCCAGGACACAGCTCCTCCTCCTAAAAGGAACACAAATCCTGTGGTGGATTTTACATCTACTGAGTCACTAATCCAATTTGCATCTGAATAACCTTCTAGTACAGATGGATAACCTTTATAGTGTAAACCATAATTCATAGTTCCTTTTAGGTATCTCAAAACTCTTTCTAGAGCATCCCAGTGACTCTTATCAGGATTTGATGTATATCTACTAAGTCTATTTACTGCATAAGCAATGTCAGGTCTGGTGTAGTTTGTTAGGAATCCTAGTGATCCAATTATTTGTGCATATTCTCTTTGTAATTGAGGATGACCTGTATTTTTCTTTAGATGTACATTAGGATCATATGGAGTGGAAACAGGTTGACAGTTTGGATCATAAAAATTCTTAAGGATTTTCTCTATGTAGTGTGATTGTGATAGCACATATCCATTCTCATTTTTCATGATTTTAGTATTAAGAATTAGGTCAGCTTGACCTAAATCTTTCATGTCAAAATTTTGTGATAAAAAGTGTTTGATATCATTTATGATTTGTATGTCAGAACCAAAAATAAGAATGTCATCAACATATAGGCATAATATCACAATTTTGTTGTTTTTATCTATTTTATGATATACACACTCATCTGTTTGATTAATTACAAATCCATAAGATAGTATAATTTCATCAAATTTCATATGCCATTGTTTTGGGGCTTGTTTGAGACCATATAGTGATCTAATAAGCTTGCATACTTTCTTTTCTTGTCCAGAAGCTATAAATCCCTCAGGTTGATCCATATAAATTTCTTCATCTAAGTCTCCATTTAAAAATGCAGTTTTAACATCCATTTGATGTATTATTAATTTGTGAATGGATGCTAGAGCTATGAGGACTCTAATGGTAGTAATCCTAGCTACTGGAGAATAGACATCAAAATAATCAATACCAGACTTTTGGGTATATCCTTTAGCTACTAATCTGGCTTTATATTTATCTATTGTTCCATCAGGTCTAAGTTTCTTCTTAAACACCCATTTACATCCTATGGTTTTACATCCTGAAGGAAGATCAGTTAGTTCCCAAGTATGATTTTGAACTATAGATTGTATCTCATTATTTATAGCTTCCTTCCAAAATGGAGCATCTACTGATTTCATTGCATCTTCAAATGTAACTGGAGAATCTTCTACAAGTAATGCATAGAAATCTTCATGGACCTTTTCTATTCTAGTTCTTTTACTTCTCCTAGGCTCCTCTGGACTTTCTAGTGGTCTAATTTGTTTAGAACTAGTTTCACCTTGATTAGAACTAGGATCTGAATTATTAGAGCTAGGGCCTGTGTTGTTTATTCTGGTCTTGTAAGGAAAAATATTTTCAAAGTAATGTGCATCCCTAGCTTCAATTATGGTGTTGTTGGCTATCTCATTAATGTCAGAGTTGATTATTAAAAATCTATTTGCATTACTATCAGAAGCATAGCCAATAAAAATTCCATCTACAGTTTTAGGGCCAATCTTCTTTCTTTTATTCTCAGGTATTTTGACTTTTGCTAAGCACCCCCACACTTTTAGGTGATCTAAATTAGGGTTTCTATTCTTCCAAATTGTGTAAGGGGTTTTATCAGATTTCTTGAATGGAATTCTATTTAGTATATGACATGCAGTCATGAGAGCTTCTCCCCATAAATTTTCTGGCACACCAGAATTAATTAACATTGAGTTTACCATGTCCATTAGTGTTCTATTCTTTCTCTCAGCTACTCCATTAGATTGAGGTGTATATGGAGCTGTTATTTCATGAATAATTCCATTCTCTTCACAGAATTGTTTTAATTCATTAGAAGTGTACTCACCACCTCTATCTGATCTTAGTATTTTAATTTTCCTATCCAACTGATTCTCAACTTCTGCTTTGTATATTTTGAATTTGTTTATGACTTCATCTTTAGTCTTAATTAAGTAGAGGTAACAATATTTAGAGCAATCGTCTATAAAAGTTACAAAATATTTGTTACCCCCTCTAGTTGTTCTTCCTGAATCACAAACATCACTATGGATGAGTTCTAATATCTCAGAATCTCTATCAATAGTTTTAAATGGTTTCTTAGGAAGTTTGGCTTCTACACATATTTCACATTTTTCATCATCTTTTATATTAAGCTTTGGAATTATATTGAGATGCATCAATCTTTTAATTGAATTATAATTCACATGTCCTAATCTTTGATGCCAAGTGATGGAAGGTTCAATATTCAAAGCTATTGGAGATGCAAGAGTAGAATTCTTAACATTCAATTTAAAAAGACCATCACATAAGAAACCTTTTCCAATGAAGTTCAAACCCTTAGTTATTACAACTTTATTTGATTCAAAAACAAGCTTATAGCCTTGTTGCACTAACAAAGATCCACTAATTAAGTTTCTCCTAATGTCTGGTACATGATGGACATCCTGCAGGATCAAAGTCTTATCAGAAGTCAGCTTTAGGTTGATCCGACCTATTCCGGATACAGGAGCCACATTATTATTTCCCATTGTCACAGTTCCTCTACTTGAGACCTGATAGGTGGAAAACAAAGATTGATTAGAGCAAACGTGAATATTAGCTCCAGTGTCAATCCACCAATCATTTGCTTGAAAGGTCATGTTTACTTCAGGAGTGAAGAGAACAGACCTGAAAGCAGCCTCAGCTGGACTGGAAGTCACCATGTTTACTTGTGACTTATTAGGTGGAGGTCCTCCCTTCCTAGGCTTGGGTGGTTCAGTTTTCTTGAAAAAGCAGTCCTTAGCAAGATGGTTGGTTCTTCCACAAACGAAGCAGGCTCGACGTTCAGCTCCTTCCTTCTTTTGAAAGTGGACAGAGTTTTTATTTTGATGAAAGGATTTCTTCTTAAATGTTTTATTTTGATTTTGGTGGAAGGGACGTTTCTTGTGTTGGGGAAAGGGTTTGGATTCAACATTGTTTACTTTGGGTTCTTTGGGTTCGGATTTTGTCACATTTTTCTCCCTGAGTCTATGTTGCTCTTCAATTCTAATGGAATTCAACACTTGTTCTAGTGTAAGATCTCCTTGGGTATGGTTAAGGTTTTTGGCAAAATCTGACCAGGACTCGGGAAGTTTGTCTATAAGACAGGCTATTTGAAACGTTTCATCTAGGATAGATCCATTCATTTTTAGTTGGTGAACTATATGTTCAAATTCATGAATTTGCTCATTCATTGGTTTAGAATCTACCATTTTAAATTTGTTAAAATCAGAAGCTTTAAATCTTTTAATTCCCATATCATCTAGACCATACTTTTTCTCTAAGGTTTCCCACAGAACTTTAGCATTAGTGATAGTATAATATATATCATATAACCTATCAGATAAAGCTCCTAAGATTCTGTGTAGACAATGATACTCTATTTCTTGAGGTGTTCTCGGGATAAGAATGGAATCTGTGGAGGAAGATGAGGAAGATTGCCTAGTAACTGGTCTAGATGAAGATGGGTTGGTTCTATGGCTGTTATTAGATGTAGAGTTGTTAACCAAAATCTCATTTGGTTTTGCCAACGACGGAAATTGTTCCCATCAAACTTCTCTGGTTTAGCAGACATAATTTCACTTGTAGCCATAATCTGATGATGAATGAATAGTTTTGTTATTATAATGCAACATAAATATATAAAACATTCATTCAACAGAATTATCATGCAGTGTAATATTTCGTTTTTAAGAATTGCAGACAACATTAACATAAAAAGCAGAATGCTAATCATGATACTATTCTAAACAGCAAAATTAGATTCTTGGATTGTTAGGAATTTTAGCTGTTTAGACAATAACGAAAATCAGTTTAAACAATTTAATAATTAACAGATAATCACTATTATAACACAGATATAAGAAATATATCAAATGAAAAGTAAATAAAGTTAGAAATACGGCCTGATGGTCGAGGCGTGCAAGCACTGTCCCAAGAAACTAATTGCCCCCTCTCGTACAGGGCTACGCGGCAAAAGCTCCCGGAGATACAACGACCCTCGGTCAGGCGACCTCCTTCTCGTCGGCACGAGCGTCAAGAAGGCTTTGCGAACTCTTGTAGACTTTCAGGGAACCAACAGAATATAATAGCAAATATTTTGAAAGAGAAGAAGAGGAGAAATTCGTTTGTAAATCTGTATATTTAGCCTTCGGTAGGTGTTGGTTTTTATAGGGGAAAAAACAGCCGTTACAAATCCCGCGGATTTAATTCTCATAAAAACTCGATTCGGTTTTAATTACTGATTTTTTAATTATTCAAAAATAAAAATGTATCAGATTAAAGGCCCATTAATCCGGAGCGGCATTCGTGTCCGCGGGTCGTGTATAAAACAGACTTATGAGTATTTATAGGGAATATCCCGTTGCCCCCAATAAATATCATGCTCGTGTAATCGTGTAACAACTTGTATTCTCTCTCTGCGGCGTGATAGTATGTCTTGAAGGCCCCCACCCAAAATTAGTGGAAACCACTACTCCAATTATATTCATGTCTTTATAATTAGACTTGTCTTATTCATTCTATGTCTAATGTCTATTATAGGAAAGTTTGATATTGTTGAAGCTTAAGTTGCTTATATAAGCAGCTTATAGAAGTAACATACAAGCTGGTGAATATAGTCATTTGGTAATCATGTATCATAAGTTGCTTTGAAAAAATGTAGGTGTTTTGTTAACATGTGTTTATAGATAATTATAAGTGAAATAACCAAAGTTAATGTGCATTTACTACATGGTTATTCACAGTAAAAAAAATCATTGCATTAGCACATAAGGTAATATCGTCTAAAATGCTAAAGAATATATATGGCATAAAAACTAAGAAAAGTAGCACTTGCTTTTAAAAGCATCACAAATTGCTTCTAGAAGCAGCCCCATAAATGTAGCAACAGTCTCAATAAGCATACAAAAAAGTTGTACCTGAAATCCTTAAACATAACTAGCATTTATTTGAAAATAATCGTACTTTAAATTAAAACTTAAGCATTAAATAAAAGGATAAATGATTTTTCTCTCACCCTAATTAAGAAGCCGGCCAAAACGATGAAAGTGTTATTGCTTAGGATAACTTGATGCCACTGCCCTTTTGAAGATTTAGTTAAGAGCCCATCCACATCGTTCTCACATAGTATAGTTATAAAACTGCTATCAATATGCTCACAAAGTCTATCAGTAGGCTCATTGTTCATGGGAGCTGAATATCTTGTCATGTTGAAGTTTGTTTCTGTGGTATCAGAGTGGGAGTCGCAGTATTTATTGAGGCCGTAACTTTGAAAGATGATCTTCTTCAGTGCAAGAGCCAATTCTCCCATCTTCTTGCTCATTGACTGCAAGGCTTGGCTAAGAGACCATATCGAAAATCACATGAAGTATAAAAAAGAAAGTATAAGGACAAACAGAATAGGGAGAAAACTATTACATATTTATCTCATATATAGTATATATCATGTAGTTTTGAGTCTGAAGACGATTTCTTTTTAGCTTGGCCATCCAAACTATTAAGCTTGACCCTATGTACTCCCTGAATTACTTTTATCTTACTTACTTCGCCTCTTAGACGAGATAATTGAGCTGATAAGCACAATAGACAAGTTCAATAATTTAGGGTTACGTAAGAACTAATTAAAATAGTTCTATTAGGATTGTGTATTTGATTCTTCGTATAACTTCATGAGAATTTGATAGGGTTAGAGATCTATCATGATTAGGAGAGTAGGTCTCATCATGATTAGGGGTTTGAAACATATTCTAATTAATAAGTTAGGCTAGAAATAGGGTTTTGATTTCCATATACATATTCTTCTATTGTTGGAGGAAAACCAAGCAGATGAGAGAGAGTCAATATTCTTATAATTTATGATTAGCAGAGGGCATAACCAGATTCAAGATTGTTGTGCGAGAGGCGAGGGTTTCATAGTTTTTATCCGTGCAAAATATTACATCATTAGGAGAGGGTTTCACAGTCTTTGTCAATTCAAAAGATTGTAATTTGGAGGTGATAATGGATTGATTTTGATCCCGTGGTTTTTCCTATTGAAGGTTTTTCACGTTAAATCTCGTGTGATTCTATTTGTTACATTTGGTGGTTTTTAAGGTTTTTGCGAGATCTAAAAATCCTAACAAGTGGTATCAGAGCTATGTTGATGGATCAGGGAGCGAGTTCGCAAGATAGAAGACGACGTCGTACAAGATTGAAGATCGACATTACAAGAATCAAGACGAAGAAAAAAGGGAAGGAACGGCCATTGCCAACAGGAGGATTTCACGGCGACTAATCGTTCGGAGGAGAGCGCCTGAGGGATGAAGTATCCGACGGTGAAGTATGCAGGCGAACGCAACTGTGAGTCGTAGTGTTGAGGACGTGCAACTAGTCACTGGCTGAGGCTTGCACCGACAATGGACTTACGTGGAGATGAATTGGCAATAAGAGGAGCAGGCGTAACAAGATGGCTGAGTTGCTTGGAAGAATTCTTGAGAGGATTTAGTTAGGTGAGGTCCGCATGAAAAAAAATGGAAAAGGAGAAATTGTTATAGCATAGGTCAGCGAGATTTATGAGAGAAGGAAAGGTAACAATCATGTGGCTGGGATTTCATGTTGATCTGGTGCTGGTTGATTTGTGGTGTTTGGTGTTTTGTTTAATTCGACGATCCATGATTATTCGTCAGCATATAATTATTCAGTCATCGCGGGAGCAGTAGTTGGTTGGTGTGTACACTCAAGGTGGACAGTCTCAGATTAGATGGAGCTTGCAAGCGGGCATGACCGAGTGACGCAAGGGAGATTGAGATGGTGGCATTGGACTTGAAGACGATTAGCGCTCATATTCGATCCAAACCAAGTGATGGAGGAGATGGAGGCATCTAGCTCGTAGTATGGAGTAGGAGAGGTGCACTAATATGATTCGAGACAAGCGATGTAGGTGAAGTACGATGAAAGCAAGTGGGAGAAGGCTACTATCAAGTTCAGATTGGGAGGAGAAGCATGGTTAATTTATTTCTAATGTTAGAGGTGGCGAAGATCTCTTAGTGCGCACAAGAGAGGTGGAGGCGCCACAGCGAGGCAGATAAAAGTGAGGGTCATATGGGCATCCAGTTGGAGTGCGAGTGTTCTGATTAGAAGTGCAAGTGCTTTGATTTGAAGTGCGAAAAGGAATAGAAGAGGAATAGAAGAGGAATAGAAGACTCTAGTGGGAGAGCAAAGTTTAAAGACGACGATAAATCTGCAAGGGAGTTTGGGAATTAAATCTAAGGTAGAGATTGTTGGGATTATGTCTTTGGTTCTTTGTATAACTTCATGAGAATTAGATAGGGTTAGAGATCTATCATGATTAGGAGATTGTGTCTCATCATGATTAGATAGTTTGAAACCTATTCTAATTAGGAAGTTAGGCTAGTGATAGGGTTTTAGTTTCCCTATATATATTCTTCAATTATTGGAGGAAAAACCAAGTAGATGAGAGAGAGCCAATATTCTTGTAATCTAGGGTTAGCAGATGGCATAACCTGATTCAAGAATATTGTGCGAGGGGCGAGGGTTTCGTATAGTTTTTATCCGTGCAAAATATTACATCATTGGGAGAGTGTTTCGTAGTCTTTGTCCATTCAAAAGATTGTTATTTAGATGTGATAGTGGATTGATTTTGATTCTATGGTTTTTCCCTATTGAATGTTTTCCATGTTAAATCTCGTGTGATTTTATTTGCTGTGTTTGGTGGTTTTCGGGGTTTTTACGAGATTTAAAAATCCCAACAAGTTCTAGATGAAACCTGGAGCCTTCCTTTTTTTTACTGTCCTAACAAAATAAAGAGGAAAGCAAAAAAAGAGATCACTAGCTAGAACTCGTAAATTAACTTTATTTGATAAATTACCGGAATTTGTCGTTGCCATCAGGCCACAATAATTCCGTCAGAGCCTGAGCAACCTCAGGCTCCTGCACGCCCACAGTAGTGAGCACTTGGTGCAGTGGCGCGTACGCGTCTGGATCTTGTCCGGGCAACACCACAGATGTCCGCGGTAATCCCTCGGCCGCCTTGCGCTTAGTCTCGGCCGGAAGAGCAAACAGAGACTCCATCTCCTCAAACATAGCCTCCCGCAGCTCGCGGGAGACGGAGTCATAGTCCACCAAGAAGCAGCCGTAGGTCTCCAGGGCTTGGCGGATGTCCCGGGATGTGGCCTCCCATTGAGGAGTCCCTGGCTCCAGAGCCTTTGGATCCTTGGTGAGATCAATGTGAGGAAGCAGCGATGAAGATGAAAGAGTATCCTCCATTGGGTGATTCTTGATGAATCGATTAATTTCTCAGTGCTTTTTTTCTTCTCAGATGCGTTTGTGTAGATTTAGATTGCAATGTTGTCTATAAATTAATGGAAGATGCGACCATCCCGTCTCTATATTTTTTTCTATGCAATGTAGAACGTGCACCAGGAGTAAAAAGACAAAAAGAAACCTCGTTTATAACTTCTCAGTGTAGTCCATTTGTCTATTAAACTTCTATGTGCTTAAAGTAAATATAAATACAATTGTATTAAGTCATAGTTTAATCCTCGGTTTAGGCTCACATCGGGCTATGTGTAGAGAAGCAGTTTTATGCACATCTATATATTTAAAAGTAACATATTTACATTTCCCAAATCTTCTCATTTTGACATGGTATTTGAGCCTTGGTAGTCTCAGCCGCACACCCAAAAAACAATTTAGGAATTGTTCGGCTACTGGATTTGTATTTAGGATTTATGACAATCTAAGAAAGCTTTAATAATCTAAAATTTTTATTTTCAGTTTGGTTGGTCGGATAGTGGAAGATTGTTTGTTTGTAAAGAAATTAATAAATTTGGATAGTTATGTGTGGGCCCCGTTTGTAATTACTTTTTGTATTAAAATAGAATCTTTTAGTTGTTACTAGGTGGAATGCACGTGCATTGCACGTGGTCAAATATCTAAATTATTTTTTTAAAGTTTATTTATTTACTATAACATGTTTGTAAAAAAAGTTTATGATTATCATAATATATTAAAAAATTTTGGATATTTCCATGTATAATATCTTGTTGGTTTCAACAATTTTTTTTTTTTATGACAAGGGAAACTTGGTCACCCCAGCTCAGTTTAACTCCTTCGGAGCCCCGCCAGCGGCCCTGGTTTGATTCCCCTTGTTCCCTTCACATCTACAAGGAGCTATCCTTAATACCAGGGGCTCATCCCCACGGGCAGAGCGCGGGCGAGCAGCGTGGGGACCACTGGGACGCGAACTGGTGAGCATACAACGGGCTGAGCTGGATTTGGTGACCAATAAAACCCCGGGTTTCAACAATTTGTCTTCCACAAAAAAAATGTCTCAAAATATTAATAACTTAAGAGCTATATAATGATTTGAAGATCTAATTTCAAAATATTAATGATGTAAGGGACCAATATAAATAAAACTATTTTTATTAATGATAAAAATAAATTCTTGAATTTATCAAAGTAAAATTGTAGGTTTTATCTGGTCATATAAGATTTTGTTTAACTATATATAAATCACTTTCACTTGTTGTTTATTCGGTGACCAAGTATTATAGATATTCAAAAACATTTTTCTAGAATTTTTTTCATCAGAATGTGCAAATTCAATCAATAAAGAAAACATAAATTATATGGTCAATTCCAAAATCTGATATTGTAGCCTTTATACATCTTCCCAACTAATTAATTGATTAGTCAAAATGATTACTCTCTATTTTTATAAAATTATAAAATATAATATGAGAATAATTTATACATATTATGTACTATGGATTGTATTTTAACAAATAATTTGGATCCATCCAATGTCAAACAACATCCATAAATTTAGGTTGAGAGTTATAAGAATCCATTATCCACAACAATACTCATACCCGAGCTACGTGCTTCATAAACTTATAAGAAGGTGAGAACTATAAAAATGAACAATTTAATTTATTTTTTCAAATAGTTATTACAAATCATGAAAGACAATGTGAATCAGAAGGGTTACATACCCTTCATAAATAAAGATTAAATTTCTCTTAGAGATTCTTATAGCAAAAGGTTTTTAGAGTTTATATATAGGACAAATCTTAGGATACATCACCCAAATCAGTTCATAGAGTGATATACTTGCTATAAAATCCAGTTTTATAAGATTGATGTCACATGTGCCTTAAGTTGCGTTTTAAGGGTTAATTTTAGAAAACTCCCTCTTAGCTATGGGGGGCAATGTTAAAAAAAAACCTCAACTTTTTTTTTTTTTATATGAGGAAACCTAGTAAGGCAGAAGGATCCCTGAGCCAAGGCTTAAGTTCTAGCCCCCGACCCTTACCAGTAAACCATGGGTGAACTGGGTCCCCTTAGGACTCTAAATGGACATGGATGACAAACCTCGAACCCGGGCCTTTGGCAACGAAATTGCTACCTTGAAACTAAGTAAATCTTCATCAAATTTAAGGTGTTGTAAATAATCTTTCTCAACTGATAATCTTTCTCAACATCAATTTTTTGATTTAATCATATAAATGTTTCTCACTTTACCACTTAGAAATAATATCATTGAGTTCAATGTATTATTTGACAAGTATTTGATTTGGAAAGACTAAAATATCCCTTAACCATAAAAGAATTAGCTTGATTTTTGCTACATTAAAGAAAAAGAGGAGATATAGAAGGAAAAGGAATTATAAATTGGTCGTGATCTTTTTATTATCGGTTGATAGTTTTTTAACTAAAATAGCTTTCTTCAAGAGGGTATTTTCTCCAAATCACATATTCAAGTAACTACATTAAGGGGTTTTCTTGAGAAAAGTGTAAAACATAAGAGGAATTTTTATGAGACACACTATAGTCGAGGGGTGTTTTCTAAAATCGCACCAAAGTTAAGAGGGGTTATCTACAATACTTTCACGGTTTGGATGTTTTGCTAAAATTAAATCAATTGAGTGGGATTTTTGAGACAATCCCCATAGCTAAGAGAGTTTTTTAAAAAAAAACACTTTTTTTTAAAATTTGCCTTGTTCACATTTTTTGTCCCTCAAATTTGTAATAATTCAATATTAGTTCTTTAAATTATAAGAAATTTCAAAATTTTTAGGGAATAATATAGAATTATTGGAGATCTAAAATCAAGGAACCTATATCTAGATTATCTTTAAATATTGCTCTTATAGGCAGTGTTTTAAATATCGGCCGATAAGTCGCTATATTGGCCGATATATCAGGTTAAAGACCTTACTCGATAATATTTATGGTTTTGTATTGTTGTTTTATTTGGGGACTTTTTTTGATATATCGATCATTATAAAAAATATTGGACGATGCATCACCTTGAAGATATCGACAAAAATGAGTCATTTTTAATTTGATTATGAGCTAGTGTTTGGGTCATGTTTGGGAACCAAAAGTGAAACCCATGAAAGACAGAAAAGTCAGAATTCGTCTCCTAAATCTCTCCACTCTTGGCTCTCCCCCTTAAGCATAAATTTTCATGTAAATTCTTATATTTAAAATTTATTAATATGTTAAACTTTTGGCTAATTTTGGATTTATTTTAAAATGATCTTACCCCATTTGAGAAGCTTTATGAAAAAAACATGATTATTCTGCACTTCGTACTTTCGATCACACCTGGTTTGTTCATCTTTTCACTCATGAGCTATAACCTATAAATTTTGGCCATTTTTATTTATTTTGACCCTTTGAAAATAATTTCATATAGTCCAAAATTCATAATTTCATGAGCTATAACCCATGATTTTTTGTTAGTTTTAGTCATTTTTTCTCATTAGCAAATAATTTCATAAGAATCTAAAATTCATAATTTCATGAGCAACAACCCACAAATTTTGGTGATTTTTAGTCATTTCAACCCATAAAAAATAATTTTACAGAGTCCAAAATACATGATTTCATGATGTATAACTCGAATTTTTTTTATCATTTTTAGTTATTCCGCCCCATTGGTAAATAATTTTATAGTGGTCAAAATTCCCAACTTTATGAGCATGAGCTATAACCCATGATTTTTTTGATATCTTTAGTCTAACAAACTCACTTCACGGTCAGTTATGTGTGTTTTTCTCTAGTGTAGTGCTAATCACAAAGGTTATCATTGCTATGATACTAAAACGCAAATACTACGTATCACTTATCATGTTACCTTCAATGAGCATCTCCCATATTGTGCCCTACTAAAAGCACCATTTTCGTTCCATCATCTATACCAGAGTCTCTCTTTTTCCTTGATCCTGATCCTATGATCCTCCACCAAGCAACTCACATGATCTTGTTAGTCTTAATCCTCCATTTCAGTATGATAGTGTAACTCTTGATCCTCTATCTCCGCAAGCTGAAGCTCATGTCCCTACTACAGAGACTATCAATGCTGATTTACATGCAACTTGTTTCCAAAGATCCTTCTCTAAACTGTTGTGTGAAAAAATATGTGTGTTGTAAGTGCACAACCAAGTTATACTATAGAAAAATATAGAATAACAAGATTTTTAAATTAGAATTTTTCTTTTTGAAAGTTATTTAAAACGAAGTTTTTTATGAAATATGTTGAGAAAGGAGTTTTGGATTTTTGATAAAGAAAAGAAAATAGAACTAGCAAGAGGGAGAGCGGAGAAAATAGAAATGCAAATAAGAAAAAAGAAAAGAAAAACTAAAATAAAAGAAATAAAATGAAAAATAAGAGAAAAAGAGAAAAAAATGGAGAGGTAAAAGAACCAGGAAGAAAATTCAAAAACTAAAAGAATTAGGAAAAAAGAAACGGTGAAAACTAACAAAATTAGAGACTAAAAGAGAGAAAGAGCAAGAGAATTAAACTAGGAAATTAGTATAGATTTTACTAGATAGCTATTTATTAAATTAGAAATTGCTCTCTTTTTTATTTATTTTTAGAATTAAAAATCATAATATATCAATCTAATTAAAGAGAGCATAGATTATCGAGATAGATTCTAAAATTAAAATTAAAATTTATGTATAGGCAATGAATTAAAAATAATAATTAGAATACTAATATGTATAGATTATCAAACCACTTAAGAAAAGTATAACATATCAAATTAGAATATTTAATCAAATATTTACTTTGATTGATTAATCTTTACATAAATAATTAATGCATAAAAGAGAACAATTCTAATTCTAATAAATAAGTTATACTGGTTACCCCTTATCCGAATTATCATAAACAAATTAGCCACACATTTTATTAAATATTTGATTATGAGTAATGTTAAAGTAAGAGAGAGAGAGTCTTGGGTTAAATTTCCCTTGAGTTTAATATTGAGTGTACACATATATCTATACAAGTAGATGAGGGTGGGGTGTGTTCTCACAACTAATGTAGGA